TCTTGGAGGATAGTTGCATTATCTCAAGGTAGAAGACTTGTCATCGGTAAGCTTAAGTATGCCAGAAGAGTGTAGATTAATGTTGAGTAAACAGGGTTGACTATACCATAAATATTCATCACATTTTCTGGCTGCCCAGCAATATTTGAGCACTCTTGCTATGTTTTGGGAATTTGCCATCTTATAATTCTCAGCCCAACCCACCCCAAGGTAAAAGCCAAAAGAACTCTCCCAGCGTTCCTGTCAACCGTAGCATAAACATGTAATCCAGACCCCATCGATAAGGCTTACCCACGGAGACAGTGATTTTGAAGTAAGCAATATAAGGAAACAGTAGTGCATACATATTTAATTTTTTCTGTCCAAAGGGTAGCAGAAGTCTGGCTTCTAGAGCCCTCCAGACTGAGTTCTTGCTGAAGAGATGTCACAGATCCTGGCAGAAATAGCAGTTGCAGGGCGCCTGGGTGGCTCAGTTGGTTAAGCGACTGCCTTCGGCTCAGGTCATGATCCTGGAGTCCTGGGATCGAGTCCTGCATCGGGCTCCCTGCTCGGCGGGGAGTCTGCTTCTCCCTCTGACCCTCCTCCCTCTCATGCTCTCTGTATCTCATTCTCTCTGTCTCAAATAAATAAATAAAATCTTTAAAAAAAAAAAAAAAGACATAGCAGTTGCAATAAAATTGAATTTCTGACCCAGAAGTGGCAGCAGGGAAAAACCACAGATTTGGTTAGTGCTCAGGGAAACAACCAAGGTGTTTTCATCATAAACCCCCAGCTCTGTGGCTCGGCTGTTCGGGCTCTAGAAATACAGGGCTGTGGCTGACTCTCTCTGGTCTTGTCAATCAGTCTGCAAACTACCCCAAATCCAGAGACTATTTCTGTCCCTTGCACCTGGTGACTGAAGGATCCATACAGGTGCTAGTTCCATTTGAAAGGGTCGAAGGGTACACAAAAGGAAGGAACAGGAGGCAAGTTTAAAAACTGTGATTGTAGGGGTGCCTGGGTGGCTCAGTCGTTAAGCGTCTGCCTTCAGCTCGGGTCATGATCTCAGGGTCCTGGGATCGAGCCCCACATCGGGCTCCCTGCTCCGCAGGAGGCCTGCTTCTCCCTCTCCCACTCCCCCTGCTTGTGTTCCCTCTCTCGCTGTGTCTCTTTCTGTCAAATAAATAAATAAAAATCTTAAAAAAAAAAAAAAAAAACTGTGATTGTGGAACCAGGGCGGATCTCCGAGCAGGAACTGATGACATCAGAGTGGTGCATCGGGAAAAATTCAACTGGCAACAGTAGGGAAGCTTTATTGAGGAGGAACTTGAGAAAAGTTCCAATTAAGGCCAAGACAAGGCCCATGAAGAGGCCATTGCACTAGTCTAGGTGGGATGCCAAGGCTTGGACCAGATGGGGGTTTAGGTCAGGGATATGGAATTGGAGAAGTCTCATTCCTGGTTTGACTATTGGCAAAGAACTCACTTGGCTTTCTAATCACAACTTTTAATATATTAAAAGTCACTACTGGAACACCTGAGTGGCTTCAGTGGGTTAAACGTCTGCCTTCGGCTCAGGTCAGGATCTCAGGGTCCTGGGATCAGACTCCCTGCTCAGCGGGGAGTCTGCTTCTCCTTCTGCCCCTCCCCCTGCTCATGCTCTCTTTCTCTTTCTCTCTCTCTCAAATAAATGAAATCTTTAGAAAAGTCACTGCTAATCATTTTTAGGGTGTTTGAAAAAATTATCAAACTCAAATCTGTCCAGATGTCACATGACAGTTCTCTGTGTGGATTCAAGTTTGAACTTGACATTCTGTGAGCTTTCTTTGTCGTGTGGTCCTTTCTGCAAAGCAAGTTACTTCTATAAGAAACATTTCTGAGGAGTAGCATCCTACTCAGTGTTTAATGGAAAGAAGAGACATAACATTTAACATTCTAATCATGCGCCTGATCACTGAGCCCATTTATTCCCCCTGAGAACTTTATGAGATTGGAATGATTATATTCATTTTCTAAATGATAAGAGTAACCAGGGATTCTGACAAGTGAATTCCCCACAGTTTTCAGAATACCCCCCTGCCAGGCTGATTTAGTCCCAGTTGGTCTGGCTCAGGCCCCGGTTCTCCTTTTGCTCCAGATGAAGGGGCTCACAGAAAACTTAGCAATGCGATAGTCATCAGAAAACTACTGCATCTTTTTCGTTTCCACCAGAACACAAGAGGAAAAGCAGAGGGAGGTGGGTGGGTGAGAAGAGCACAATGCACTCATTCTCAGTGGGATTGTTGGCAACCACTCCCATCTGCAGAGTCGACAAACGTGTTCCCACTTATTTCCCTATTGAATGAGCTCTTCACAAGGACTGAGTAGGTATCACGAGGTCCATCTTAAAGATGGAGAAACTGAGACTCAGTAGACTTACATATATGTACAATTATGCAAATAGTAACCAGCAGAGCCGAGATTTGAGTTCAAATCCTCTCACCCCAAACCCAGAACATTTTCCACTGCACCGAGCCACAGAAGAAAATGAAGAATGGAGCATCTTTCTGGATAGAGTCCGGGGCCTGGGATTCCCTCGTAGGAGGCCAATATCCCTGCAAGGTGTCCTTCTTTCCTCAGGTTACTTTGGGACCCTTGAGGCCAATCACTCTGGGCTGTATCAAAGCTGGTGTGGCATGCTTTCTAACATCCAGGCCCAAGGATGGGCATCTATTGGGAAACAAGGTGGTTCTCGTTGACCATACTCCTCCCTCCTAAGCCACCTTCCAAAGTGACTGAGACATAATTGTAACATTTTACAAAGACAAAAATAAAAATACTAGCTTTATGGCTGCAAAGGAGACCATGGCTTCACCTCCCCAGACTTCCTACTATTTACCCCCCAAATAGTAGTCTTTTCTCTCTCTGAGGGGCAGAATATGTTCTGGTAAGTTCACTGCATCGAGAAGCAGAGAATCTGCCTTTTCCGAGAGTAAGCTCCTCCAAAAGAGAATTTTCCAGTTGGTCACTCCTCCTCCCTTGGGGAGCACTATGTGGAGAGACAGGCTGGATGTGTCTGCCCATGCTTTCTCCATGACAGTGTCAGGAACGGGGAACAAGCATTCCTTCCTCTCAACACTGTGCTTCCCACATTGCAACATCCTGAGTCTATCAGAGACATCAGCAGATGCAATATGTAATCCATTGTGATGAGGAAAGAAAGACAATGGTCTTTGATGTCTTATCTCAAATGGTAGGTAAATGAGACAATCATATAGGAGGAAGGACTGGTAACCAGGAGGAGCAGATGTGTTATTTGCGGACTGGTATAACCACCAAATTAGATTGTCAGAGCTGTAAAGAACCTTGAAGATCATGTGCAAGAAATCCCTGCTCACCTGACAGGCTTGTTTGTCGTATGGGAATACATAGAGCTGGAATGTGAGTCCAGGCATTTAGTCTGGTTGTCCTAAAGAAGTCTAATGACCTAAGCCCCATACCCATGACCCCCTTCTAAGGCTTTCTCACCCTGGATCCCATGCTGCCACTGTTGACCCCTCCAACATGGCCATAACTGAATGAGCATCTGATGGAACAGTAGCCAGCCTAGATGTCAGTCTATAAACTGAGCAGAAGGGACTCCAGTGACTAATTGAACCCACCACATTCTATCTTTTGAGGATTTTTGAATTTAAGACATTGGGCACTGAGCAATTGATAGGAAGAGCAAAAGACACAGAGAACAGGCAGTAAGAAGACATGAGCTGAAGCTATGAGTGCGCAGAGTGTGAGGTCAGGTGGAGTAAAGAGTATTTCATTGGCGGAGATGTAGATGGCAGAAGAAAGGATGGAGGAGCTGGATCCAAATGATGGTGAAGCTCCAGAGTAGCAATTAGCTCCTCCTGCTGCTGAGGGAGGGGTAGACATCACCTAGCTGTCAGACCCACACTGGATCCTGTACCTTCCAATTATCAAACTATGTCCTAGGCCCTGGGGAGGTTAGCTACTGAGCTATTGATAGGTTCACCAGAGACCTGGTTATATGGCCAACATGTCACTCCTCCTTAAAACATGTAGCTTCACAAACCACCAACACTCAGGGTAATCTGGATAAGCCACTTTGTATATTACAACCCAAACAGACTAACACACTAGCTTTTCCACTGGCAACTTCCCCTGTGCAAACCATATACATTAGTATTAAAATTTTTGATCCAGTAGTTTTATCCCCCCCCCCCCTCGCAGTAAGACCTAAGGTCTTTTGATTAGACCAGAATCTCACCTGTGATCATGTCCTCCATCCCAAATAATCACTAATGCAGCCTTAGAAGCCTTCCGGTACAGCCTAAACAACTCCTTTTTTCCTGGCACACTTGACAGGGACTCCTTGGGCAGTGGGTGCCTCCATGGCTAGTGTCCATCCTGAGGTCCAAGAATGGCATTGGGATGATTAAGTGCCCAGAGCATAACTACCTATTCACGGACGTGGAGCAGCTGGGTGGGATGTATGTGTTGGATGGAGGGAGGCAAGTCAGGTGGAGAGAGAAGAGGAATGCATCTGATACCTAGGAACTGTCATCTCTAGGTTCACTGGCTGTGCCCCAACCTACTACTACTTGACTTCCTCACCCTCTTCACCCTTTTTTTCCCCTCTGTACCACTCTTCTCTCCTCCCCACTTCCCCTCTCCCCAGCCTCTCTTCAGGACCCTGGGGTGATAATGAGTAAACCTCAACAAAGCTTCTGCAGAATCCAGATCTCCTTCTGCCAAAGAGTCTCCAGTGATACAAGCATGAATTTTTCACAGTTGAATGCAAACTTTATTTTATTTGCTCATCTATAAAATTGGCAAAAGCCCATTTTATTTACAAAGGTATAGGACAGCAAGCACTCTTCTCATACACTGCTGGTGGAGGTATAAATTGGCATAATTTTCAGTATGAAAATTACAGATCATGTGCCTTTTGACCTACAGTTCCACTTCTAGGAGTTTATCCTAAAGATATACACGTAGCAAACTTTATTTTTATTCTCTTTCTTTCAGGAGGTATCCGTTGAGGATGGCTCCAGTGAGGAAGAAGGTATCTTTGAAAGTCTCTTCAGTCCGAGATATAAGGTAAGCAGTGTTGTAGCCAACAGTCTGTCTGGATCAAGAATGGATAGAGGTGGGGGCATCTCCCTCCATCAAACCTTCCTCGATTTTTCCCATAGAACGACCACAGATAGCACTTTGCTACATCCCTTACAGATTGCAGCTGAAGAACTCAAACTACTCACCAACTGTTCTGCCTTTTTTTTTTTTTAAAGATTTTATTTATTTATTTGAGAAAGAGAGAATGAGAGACAGCACAAGAGGGAAGAGGGTCAGAGGGAGAAGCAGACCCCCTGCTGAGCAGGGAGCCTGATGCAGGACTCGATCCCGGGACTCCAGGATCATGACCTGAGCCAAAGGCAGTCACCCAACCAACTGAGCCACCCAGGCGCCCCAACTATTCTGCCTTTCTGATGCATGAAAGAGTGCAAGAGGGTTGTGACCATGTACTAGGGGATACTGGGCAAAAAGTGACAGTACTGTTGCATAGGAAATGCCAGGATGCGGTGTAAATGGGGAAGTCACTTTCAGTTCTGACCTCAAGCAGGAAGGGACTCCTCTGGCCAGAGAGCCTTTAAAACCCCTTTTTGCCACCACAATTTATAATGAATCCAGCCACTAGAAAAGAGGAGTCCCAGCAGAGTGTACGCTCAGAGACTTTGGGTAAGAGATTCAGGGCACCAGCCTCACTCAGCTATTCCCAGACTCAGCATCCAAACACTGTACCTTTAAGCATATGCAGAAAGATGACATGTAGCAGTTGGATCCTACAGAAAGAGGCAGACCTTGGTGTGCCTGGGTGGTTCAGTTGGTTGAGTGTCTGATTCTTGGTTTCGGCTCAAGTTATGATCTCAGGGTTTTGAGATCAAGCCCCTCATCGGGCTCCACACTCAGCACCAGAGTCTGCTTGAAATTCTCTCCCTCTCCCTCTGCCCCTTCCCCAGCTTGCATGCACATGTGCTCTATCTCTTTCTTTCGCAAATAAATAAATAAATAAAATCTTTACAAAAAAAAAAAAGAAAGAAAGAAAGAGGCAGACCTCCCAGTGCAGGGCATACTGTGTGAGATGGGGAGACATGGGCTGCCTACAGAGAATTAGACCTCATCTGCCCCTCTGCTTTAGGGTCATCACCAGAATCATCTAAAGAGGAGCCGGAGCTGGGGTTCAGAACTCACCATGGGCTGTTACCCAGTGTGTACTATAGCCGCGCTTCAATCATTCTCAACATTTCACTTTGCCATTTCCATAAAATTCTGAGCTTGGTGAATTCCAAGGCAATATTAGAGTCCTTTAGAAAAATAAAGATATGTACCGCCTTTCCCATCATTCCTGCCACATATTACACCAGTTCTTAATTTGAGGGGGCACGGTAGTTGGGTGAAAAGACCATTTCACTTGCTATTTGATGTAGAATGAGCCTTCTTGTGCTTATTTCCTTATCTGCAGTATCAACTTTTATGATTCTGAGATAAATTTTCTGACATGGAAAGAATGGCGGAGGAGGGAGGGAGTTGAGCAGAATAATGGTGGGGTCTAGAGTTCCTGGATGACAGGCAGATACTTCCGACAGAAAAATAAGTTGTGCCCTGACTGTAATGTTAGCTGTGTTCATTGTGTGGACAGGTGTTTGCCCTCTGATAATGAGTAGACTTTAATCCTAGGTGTGAGTACAAGTCATGTCAACAGGGGTGGTTCCAGAGAAATCCACAGTAATTGCCCAAGACACAACATGAGCCCACAACCAAATTCTCACACTGAAAAATGACTGACAAGTAAGAATGTCAGTCTTAATGCAGCTCATTAGGTAATAGAAAAGGCACTGATTGTTCAAGTCAACAAACATCTTCTGATGCTGCAAAGGCCAGCCAGGCAAGCTATACCAGCAATGGAGAGGTGTGGCTCCAGTGTGTGGTGACACACAGTGAACACCCAAGCTCTGTAGTGCTGATTAGTTGTGTAATGGGTGGATGAGTCAAAGATCATGCTTCCTAGTTTGTCAGCTACTTGGTAGCTCCCAGGAACTTGCTCCAGATTTCCAGTGGCTCCATGCAAGCAATCCTGGGGCTGGTTATGAGCCCACAGAGTCATCATCAAGACTCAAATTTCAGTGTCTTAAGCAGTGAAACAAAATACTCCTGACTCACATCCTTGAATCCAACGAGGGAGCTTTTGGTCAGAGATTGTGTTTCTGTGAGCATCTTCATTTTCATCAAGGCCTTGTGAATTTATGTTGACAGTGCAGGAGAAGGAGCAAAGTAAGAGTCCAGCAAAGTCAGCTCTTGCAAGGTTTGAAAACTTACTGGCAAGACACGACCCCACTGGCCAGTCAATAGCACCCACAGTTGTGGCCCCATGTTCCCTCCAGTGAGCTTCCTCCCACAAGTCCCCTGACTATAATATTGGTATCAACCCTGATTGCCCTGGTACCCAGTAGTCATGGAGTGGGTGGAATCGCTCGCTTTCCTTCCAATTCTCAGGGCTCCAGGAAGAATCAAGCAGTCATATACTCCCAGGGATAAGCCCTGGCTAATCTACTTAATAATTGGATGACCATGGACAAATAATCGGAGTCTCAATTTCTTCATCTGTATATTAAAAATAATAACATCCATTTTGTTGTGTGGTTATGAAGATTAAATTAAATCAGGAATATAAAGTACCTAACACAATGCCTAGCACAAGTATAAGCTCCATAAATGGTAGTTTTCTTATTTATTTATTTATTTTTATTATTTTTTTTATTTTTTAAAGATTTTATTTATTTATTTGACAGAGAGACAGAGAGCATGAGTGGCCACCCAGCCTCTGCTTTGAGTCTACCCAAGGCAAGAGAAAATATCTTTAGGGCTTCTGAGGACTAAATAGCAACCCCTTGCCCACATACAAGAGTAGCACTTCTGGCTGTGCAGACTTGTTGTTCACATAGACTACACTGTAAGGAGTTGGGCAGTGTGGTGGCCCTGTCTATGTAACAGTCATCCAAATATTTGGTGTCAACCTCATATTCCTTTGAGTCTTTTCTTCTCCAATGAAAACTTCCAAATTCCTTTTGTCATGTCTCACATGACAAGTTTTATATCTCCCAACACTCAAGTCACTCTTCTCTCAGTGCTCAACTAAGTACTGCCTCAATCTGGGCACAACACTCTAGTCATCATCTGACCAGTTGGGAGAAATGAGATCCACTTTTCACATTTCATGCTGCTAAGCTACGTTCTCCCACTACTCCATCCTGACTTGCGTGATGTGTTTTATTATTTTAGTTCTCACTTAATCCTTACACTTGCCCTGTGAAATTTCATCCTGCTAGGTGCAACTCATCATTCCAGATGATGAAGACATCTTTGTATCATGCAACATACTCATTCTCTCATGCTGGTACAAAGATTACTCAAGACTCACAAGACAATGGGCAGAGCTCTTTTTTTTTTTTTTTAAAGATTTTATTTATTTGACAGAGAGAGAGAGATCACAAGTAGGCAGACAGGCAGGCAGAGGGAGAGGGAGAAGCAGGCTCCCTGCTGAGCACAGAGCCCGATGTGGGCAGATGCTTAACCATCTGAGCCACCCAGGCGTCCCTGGACAGAGCTCTTTATTCCATTCTTAGAAAATTCCCTCCAATGTGACATGGATTCTTTCTTTCTTCTTTCTTTCTCTTTCTTTCTTTCTTTCTTTCTTTCTTTCTTTCTTTCTTTCTTTCTTTCTTTCTTTCTTTCTTTCTTCCTTCCTTCCTTCCTTCCTTCCTTCCTTCCTTCCTTCCTTCCTTCCTTCCTTCCTTTCTTTCTTTCTTTCTTTCTTTCTTTCTTTCTTTCTTTCTTTCTTTCTTTCTTTCTTTCTTTCTTTCTTTCTTTCTTTCTCTCTTTCTTTCTTTTTCCCTTTTGATATTTGTTGCACTAGCATCCAGTTAAGATATCTCTTTACTGACCACAACCTAACTATGGGAGACTTTGTTGAGTTTCTTGCTCAAGTTATTTATTCCTTCAGACAACAGTACTGGGCACCTGCTGTGTCTTGGCAGTAGTAGACACCTAGAGTACAGGCAGTGTTGTGCTGGAGTATGTTTAAAGTTGACTACCCCCGCCCCCGGAAAAAATCCCTGATTTGTAGCATTTGCTGATTTCCATGACATAAGTACTTCCCAAATGGCAGATTCCAAACTATTAATTTGATGTCACTGAATATGGAGAGGGAGGACATGTGTATGATCAGCTCTTGTGAGCCAGCATGAGCCAACTCCAGCACACCACTGATGAGGTACACATGAACCATAGATGGTTTCTTTTTTAAAAAAGACTTTTTTATTTTAAGAGAGAGAGAGAGCTGTGGGAGGGATAGAGGGAGAGGGAGAGAGAATCCCAAACAGATTCCACGCTGTGTGTGGAGCTCATCACAGAGCTTGACTCATGATGGTGAGATCATGACCTGAGCCGAAATCAAGAGTTGGATGCCCAATCAACTGAGCCACCCAGGTTCCCCGAACCATAGATGGTTTCTGCCATAGAAAAGCTCCAAGAGGTTCTTAGAGTCTGGTGATGCACAATGCCTGTCTTCCCTCCAGACCCACCATGGAGAAACCGTGTCAGTGGAGGAAATAAGATTTGTCTGATGTGATTTGTTCTCAGTGAACCCATGTCATTTCATAATTGCAATGGACCCTTTTAAGTGCTTGTGAACTTCAGTGTTTCATCCAAAGTTACTTCCAGGAGCAATGTTGAACTCATTCACCTATAGTTTAAGGAATCTACATTCTCCGTTTTAAAAATCAGTACATTTCTAATCTTTTAACATGTTTACTAATACTATAAATCCTTCAAACTCTCCACGACTAATTTGGAAATCTCATTCCTAAATTCTCAGTATCTTGGAGTGAATTCCATTCCAATCTGAGAGCCCAGAGCACATACTGCCGCTTCACCCACCTCGAGCTGTTTATTCTTCTCTTTTGGGTCCAAAGATCTTTCTACTTGATGAGAATGATAAAAGGAAAGTAAGGATAAGGATCCTTTCTCCTTGTTTTCATGACGGATAATCTTTGCTAACTGATAGGCAGAATAAGCTCCCCTCCCATGATGGCCACATCCTAATCCCTGGATTAGGAGTGATATGTTATCTTACATGTAAATGTGTTATATTTTTTGGCAAAGAGGAATTAAGGTTGCACATGGAATGAAGCTTGCTAAACAGCAGGTCTTAAAAATGAGAAGATTATTCTAGATTATCCAGATAATCCCAGTGTAATTACAAAGGTTTTTTTAAATGTGGAAGAGAGAGGCAGGAAAGATTTCAAGATGCTACATTGCTGGCTTTAAAGATGGAGGAAGGGACCATGAGCCAGAGAATGCAGGTGGCCCCTAGAACTGGGAACGGCAAGGAAATGGATTCTCCTTTAGAGCCTCCAGAAGGAAAACAGCTCTGCTTACTCTTTGATTTTAGCCCTGTGAGACCCATTTTGGACTCTGACCTCCAGAATTGTAAGACAATAACTTTGTTTTTTTTTAAACTACCAACTTTGTGGTAGATTTGCTGCAGCAGCCAAAGAAAACTCATACATGAGGGGCGCCTGTGTGGCTCAGTCAGTGAAGCATCTGAATCTTGATTTTGGCTCAGGTCATGATCTCAGGGTCATGGGATCAAGTCCTGTGTCAGGCTGTGCGCTTAGGGGGAGCCTGCTTGAGGTTTTCTCTCCTTCTCCCTCTGTCCTCCCCTGCTCATGCACGCTCTCTCTCTAAAGTAGATAGATGAATCTTAAAGGAAGAAGAAGAGGTAGAAAGAAAGAAGAAGAAGAAGAAGAAGAAGAAGAAGAAGAAGAAGAAGAAGAAGAAGAAGAAGAAGAAGGAAGAAGGAAGAAGGAAGAAGGAAGAAGAAGAAAGAAGAAGAAGAAGAAGAAAGAAGAAAGAGGAAGAGGAAGAAGAAGAAGAAGAAGGAGAAGGAGAAGGAGAAGGAGAAGGAGAAGGAGAAGGAGAAGAAGAAGAAGAAGAACTCACACAGAGTAAGTGTTCAGGACATGTTCAAGGAGCAAAGTACAGTCTTCTTTTCTCTACAGCCTGGAATAAACACCTCCTACCCTCAATTCTTGTGCCCAGACCAAACTACTAGGTGGTTGATACTGAGTTTTCCACAGCTGGTCATAGGCATCACTCCTTTGGTCTTGTTCAAAGCACAGGTCAGGGAGGGGAGGAAGTAGAGGGCCTAATTCCATAAGCCCCACCTCTCTCCCCACTCTCTCTGTTTACACTGGGGTTGCAATTGTAAATATCCAGAGAACAGACAGGTATATAAAACACGGGAAGCAAGCCAGGTGGGATGTGTGACAAATTGGAGAGTCCAGTTTGATCCTGGCCCCATAAAATCGCCTTTGCTTACACTTCCTGGGGTGCCCAGGGCTGGGAGACAGACAGCCATTATGGACCCAGCCATGGTTTGAGTTATACAAATGCTTACAATGTCATGTTTGCAGGGACACATGAGTCATTTCTTGACTCATAACACTATCAACACTGGGTGGGTACCTGTAATCCCCGGCCTGAGCTTTTATCTCACGGACATGGTGAGCTGTACCGAACAATCTGTACTTGGGGAAACTGCAGCACTGACAGCTCAGAGGAGACTTTGCGGCCCCACACAGAGATGCATCAGTTACTATGCATTTTAGGGTGGTTGTTTTTTTTTTCCTTCTTTGATCCTACCTAATTTTTTAAAATCCCCTATTTCCATTAAGAAAGAAATTGTGCTTTGGTAATATGTTCAAGTAAAAGTGTATAAAGTCAAATGTATAATTAAAATCCCTTCTAGAACCACCTCTTCGGAAATAACCTCAGCAAGAGTTTGATAGATCTTCTCCAGTTTTATTTTATTGCATACACACACTGTATTAGTTTGCTAATAACTTAAATCACAGAAATGAGTTTTCTCACTGTTCTGGAAGCTAGAAGTCTGAGGTCAAGGTGGCAGCAGGGTTAGTTTCTCCTGAGGCCTCCCTCCTTGGCTTGCAAATGGTCATCTTCTACCTCTGTCTTCACATGGCCTTAACTTGTGTGTGTCCGTGTCCTCATTTCCTTTTCTTATAAAGACACTAGTCATATTGGATTAGGGTCCACCCTCAAGACCTCATTTAACTTTAATTACCTCTTTAAAGATCTTTCCTCCAAATACAGTCACATCCTGAAATCCTGGGGATTAGGGCTTTGGCACAGGAATTGGCCAAATTGGTGGTGTATAAATTCCACCTGCAACACACACATAATAATTCCTTTTCTGCACAGTTCTGCAACTTGTTTTTTTTTTTTTTTTCACTTAAAGTAGTTTCAGCACGTTTCCAAGTCAGAAGATTGTGTATGTTCCTGAGGAGGCTGAGATAGTGAGTATTTAGCTTTCTTACCTGCTATATATATATATATAGCAAGAGAGAAGAGGTTGGGAATGGCCATTTGTGTCAAAACCAACAGCATCCGTCAAACAGCTATGGCGGCTCTTCACTGCCTCTCTTCCTTCTTCTTCTAATTGCCTTTTTTTTTTTAAAAAAGATTTTATTTATTTATCTGCCAGAGAGACAGAGAGAGATCACAAGTAGGCAGAGAGGCAGGCAGAGGGAGAAGCAGGCTCCCTGCTGAGCAGAGAGCCCGATGCAGGCTCAATCCCAGGACCCTGGGATCATGACCGGAGCCGAAGGCAGACGCTTAACCGACTGAGCCACCCAGGTGCCCTCTAATTGCTTTTATTACTTTGTGTTTTCATCTAAAGTTCTTGTGATTTTCTTATGCTTTTTCTTCAGATCCCACATTAAGTTGGCTATTGCATAAATTATGCTCTATGTGCTATTTCTATGATGTGTATTCATTGAAAAATGCTATTATGTCCTTGCTTTCTTTTCTTAGCTCTTCTGGCTTCCTTGTTTTATTTCATTCCATTGATTTATTACTATATCTTTTATCTCTTTTTTCCACAGAGGTCACATGCTCTATCTTCTTCTGTGGGAAGTGCAAGGCATGTGCTATCTGAAAGCCCCTACCGCTCCCTGGGATGTGTTCTCCAAGTCTCCTGTTTGACTCTCAGTAGTGCGAGTGGGTTCTTTTACTCACTTCCTTGTGCCTTTGGGTTGCCCCTCGTACTTCAAAAGGCACATGGATGCCCTATTGTTTACCTTCAGAAGGTATGTGTGTGCATGCATGCATTTGTGAATTTTGTCTCAACTCTCTTCCTTGACCTTGTCAGGGCCCATCCTGTGGGCATGCCTTCAGGCTTTAGAGTGTTCCCAACCTGAGATGAAGCTCATTCCCTTTGCAGGCTCCTTAAGGCCCCTTGAGCATTGCTTTGATGTGTCAGTCAAATCTATTTTAGTGTCTTTAATGTCATTGTTAGGAAAGATTTTCTTACTTCAAGATTATGTAAATGTTCATCCATATATGGAAGTATACTTATCACTTTTTTCCAAATGGCCAGCCAACTTTTCCAATATCATTTTAAAAATTATCCAAATCTTTCCTACCTGTATAATTTGCTGGATGGTGTTTATATACTTAATGTATATAACATACCAAATAATGTATAGACATAGAACTTTCCTAGGCTTTTCTTTCAGCCTCACAAAAATAGCTCTTCAGGTTATATCTATTTTCAGAACACTAATGTATATTCACAAATAGATTATATTGCATTATATTATATTATTATACATAATATATATGAGATTTTAGCTTTATAATACAGGAAATTAAAAGTTGCATAAATTAAATAAAAGCTCCCACTGCTCTCACCTCCCACTTAGACCCCATGGACAAGGTCTAGTCATAATGTTGACCTGAGTAGAGCACAATAGATAAGCCCTAAACAAGAAAACTTAGGGACAACCTCTACTGCCTGTGGGTAAGCCTGCTAGAGCAGGGCACAGGACCCATGCTGTGACCCAAGAGTGAGAAATTTGTCTGAAGTTACCAAATCTTTATTTTCATATAACAGAGGCAAGTCTTATATAGATCATTCTTCAAATCATCAAAACAAATGGCCCTGGATTTATCTTAGGGAGGGAGCACTCTGTTTAAAAAACATTTCATAGTCCACTTAGATAGATAAAGTGGGTTCTCAGGTCACAAAGTCTAGTCATGAGGTGCAAAAGGGAGTTCAATTGCTTTATAACAAAAGGATATTTTAGAGCCCCATGAGGAGAAGACAGAAACAGGAAGGCAGAAAAATCAGGAACCAGTGATACAGTAAAATCCCCAGGGCTGGGAGAGCTAAATGGACTTTGAAGAGGATACCCGATATTCAAAGTTGAGTTGTTAGTATTCTATTTTTTTTTAAGATTTTATTTATTTATTTGAGAGAGAGAGAGAGCATACACGAGCGGGGGTGAGGGGAGGGGCAGAGGGAGAAGGAGAAGCAGACCTCCTGCTGAGCAGGGAGCCCCACATGGGGCTCGATCCCAGGACCCTGCGATCATGACCTGAGCTGAAGGCTGATGCTTAACCAACTGAGCCACCCACGCACCCCTGTTAGTATTGTTTTGACATAAACTCCATTTCTCCAAGTTCCCAGCATCCTTTGCTCCTCAAATGAAAAGCCTGTGTGTAGTGGGGGTGGAGAGGGGAGTAGAGGACAGTAGCTGTGTCCATATCTAGGTCTATGTGTTGTCATGGATGGTCCATAATCTAAACTTATTCAGCAGAAACATGAACCAGAACAGAGGTAACCATGAGCAGGTGGGTTCCTCAAACTATTGCAAAAACTTGGGGAAGATCATTGATTTCTACAAGTTATAAAATGGGGACTTTAAATTACACTAAATTTTGCAAGCAGGATGAACCCAGCTGACATCTTGTAGTTATCCAAAAGGTCACTGCCTATGCCCACATTTGCCCCTCAAAAGAACTGGCATTACTCATACCTTTGGCAAAATGCATTGCCGTACTGCTCAGTGTACCTCCCAGAAACAAGCGGGGAGAGAGAAGGAATAAACAAAATTTCAAAACCTCTGCTAGTTTTTCTAATGGTCCATTTTTAAGCAGAGCAGATGGGATATGATTACATTTTTTAATTGTAAAATGTGATGAATCATAATAGCTTCTTCACAGGATCGTGGTGAAGATTGCATGATTAATGCTGTATGTCCAGTGCTTTAGAACTGCCTGGCACAGGGTACATTCCGCATATGTTTACTATTACGACTACAAATACAGTTGTCATGATCATGCCTACAAGAATAAGGGGAATTGAGCTGGAGGGATTCTAAGAGGAAAAGAGTTGGAACCTTCAGGAGCAGGGAGTGGAGTGCCTGTCCCTGGCTCCCCCTTCACCTCCAACCTTTGACAAGTGGACCATATACAAAAAACAAAAGCCTGTGGGAAGTTTGGGGGGGCAGTTGGGGGGCAAGAATCACAGAAAAGGAGCTGCCTTATGGAGTAGAGAAGAGAGAATGGCTTCAGGAGGTGGAATGTAAATGAAACCATGAGTGTGAGGGAGCTGGAGCTTGAACTCAAAACCAGAAATGATTGGGGGTCAATAAACTCGCCTGCAATCTGCAAACATAATTGGAAGGGACATTGACCTTCCCACTGAATTTGGGATTAAAGAAAATCTTGCCAATCAAAACAAAAGAGAAAAAGGCCAAAACAACATGCAGAGGATGATCTCAGCTGACCCAAGCTCACCTTAAAAATAGAATGTACAAGAAAGTTAAGAAACAACTTGTTGAAAATGTGTTAGATAAACACTTCTGGGAAAGTGGTCATTCAATGCAAATTGACAAGTTCCCTTCCAGCCTATACTCGTTAAAATAAACAAAAATATCCCCCAATAGAGGAGGCCTCCATCTCATACATATTAGGAAAATTCGCTGGCTGTGATTCAATTCATACCAAATTGAAAACTGGTGCTGAGATTGAAAGCATTAACATTCCAGTTGGTGAGCACCTCTGGTATTGGTAGGGGACAAAATTCTGAGGGTCCCACCATTACTACCCAATAGAGAGTTGGGGTGGGTTGTGGGATAGTACATTCAGGACACATTGCTCTGTAAGATCTTAATAAAGTTACAGAGAACACTGGGGAAGTAGATCCTCTGCTTCTATCCTGGACAGGTTAGGTCTTTAGGGAAGCTGC